ACCTTCTTGTAGTCTCTAACATAAGCTGGCTCCAGCTCTTCAAACGTGTTGACAATCACACCATAAGAAGTGTTGTCCCCTTCAATCATCCCGTCTAAAAACTCTTTCCAACCTTCATCACTAGTTGCAACCAGAGGAAGCTGAGCTTTTGTGAACTCAACTCTGTCAGGAAAATTTGGGATGGGGAAGTACTCTTTATGAGACTCTATAGATTCCCAAAACTCTAAGTTCTGGCGCATAATGTGCAGACAAAGAAGGTTGAAGCAACCCATCCCATGAAAGATGATCTTTGGTATGCCAAAGTTCTTGGCGATTCTGTTTGTAAAAGGCAAACACATGTCGCCTATTATGCAGTTTGGCCTAGGTTGAATCTCTTTCAAAAGCTTCTCGACCGGTTCCTCGAGCATATTAATTTCCTTAAAGAAAGATGTTAACGGCCTCGATGAATCAAGCAAGTCCACGTTATCGTGTCCTTGCGGTTCTTGAGATGGAAACTTCACCTGGAGAAGATTGATTGGCAAACCGGACTGAATGGCCCGGTTAAGAACGTTCTTGAACCGGGAAGCGTTGTGAGGTGTGGTGACAATGGTTATAGTCACACCTCGCTGAGCCAAGAGCCTTGCAATATCGACCATGGGGATCATGTGGCCTTGAGCCATGAAGGGGAAGAGAACAAAGTGAAGATGAGGATGGAATTGTTGAGATGTTTGGGAAGCCATGAGAAACTTTTTCAGTTTTTTTTTTTTATTGTGTGTGTGTTTGCTTTGATTTGGGTTGTGTTGTGTGTGTAGTTGCTTTGCTTACATATATGTCAACAAAAAGTGGAGCTCAAGGAAATAATAAAAATTGATGTAAGAGAAAACAATAACAAATTGGTTTATTCATTACAAAACACAATATGCTTACATATATGTCAACAAAAAGTGGAGCTCAAGGAAATAAAAAAAGTTGACGTAAGAGAAAACAATAACAAATTGGCTTATTCATTACAAAACACAATATGCTTATGCTTACATATATGTCAACAAAAAGTGGAGCTCAAGGAAATAATAAAAATCGACGTAAGAGAAAACAATAACAAATTGGTTTATTCATTACAAAACACAATATGGTTCAAAGAGATTTGTATATTACGTGGCTGGGACTCATATGTCGTTTTGTATTCATATAACTATAAGCCAAAAAGAAGTAGAGAAATATTCTTGAGAACTACGTCGAAACGATAGCATAGAATTCACAGCCTCAAGAATCAAATTTGGATAACATAGAGCCGACAGACAAATCAAACTTGACTCTTGATTTCTCTCTATAGACAAACTAGATATTTACAACAAACCTCAAAGTACCAACAAAATGAACCAGAAGAGATACAAAACACACATGTGACATATATATTATTGAAGCCAAAGGTATTGTTTACATAATGTTGCGCCTAAGAAGATTATTTAAATCTGAAATGGGAGTGAAGAGTGTAAGAACTCGAATTGGAACTAAAGAAATTGTTGGAACTTGAAAAAAAAATGGTGGAACTAAGTTTAGGTTTCACAATTTATCTTGGGCTTTTTGCAGAATTGACCTGAAACTTGAAGTCAACCACAAAACTAACCTCCCTTTTTTTTGGAACTTTATTTTGCCCAATTCACCCCACAAGTTCATATAATTCACGAAAATGCCATCAAATTTTTTTTTTTTTTTGGTTTCGAAAATAACATATTTACTCTCTCACCCTCATCATCTTCAAGTAATTACAAG